GAAGCCACGCACGCTCGCACAGTGCCAGGTCCCTGGTGTGTTCCCCATGCCTCGTTCCAGAGCTCTTTGCTGCTGGGTAATTGGCCAGAATGGTTTCCCAGAGCAGGTGCCTGTGGAATCCGGCTCCTCTGATGCCCAATGAAGATGTTTCATGCCTAATATTGAGCAAAGGACTGGTTTCCTCCAGTTTCCAAGTAAAGTGTTGCGAAAGCGTCGCACAATCTCAGTTGTTGACTTTTCTTTATGATTTTCCTTTGGAGCTCACACTGCCCATCAGCTGGCTGGTGAGGGCAACAACAAAACAACGGGACAAGGAGCAAGCACATGAGTAGTGACTGAGAGACTTGCAGATGTGAGAGCTTTCCCGCGGTGCCCATATGTCTTGAGCCAGAGAGAGACCTGGCTATGTATGAAATACAGTATTTCTGCTAGTAAGTTTGTTCCTGGTTGATAATGATAAAGTTAAAGCTATCTCTGTTTATTAGAGTTCATGGCTTGCAAGTGTTTTGCCAACAAAATAAATTTCACAATGAGGGGATATTTAAAGCCTGACTGGGTAGAAGCAGGTACTTCCAATAAAAATAGCTGCCCGGCCAGCATGGCTTAGTGGTTGAGGGTTGACCTATGAACCAGGAGGCCACAGTTTGATTCCCAGTCAGGGCACATGCTTGGGGTTGCGGGCCTGCTCCCCAGTGTGGGGGCCTGCAGGAGGCAGCCAATCAGTGATTCTCTCTCATCACTGATGTTTCTATCTCTCTCTCCCTCTCCCTTTTTCTCAGAAATCAATAAAAATATATATTTTTAAAATAGCTAATATTTATTATGTTGCTTACTACCTTCCAGGCACTGTCCTCAGCATTTCTGATATACTTTTGATCTCACTGAAACCTCACAATGCCCCTATGAGGTAGATACTATCATTATACCCATTGTACAGATGAGGAAACTGAGGCTGAGAGAGATTAAGTAGCTTGTGAAAGTCACGCAGTTTAAAGCCAGTGGAGATGGACACTGAATGAGCCCAATCTGAGCTCCTTTCTCTCCAGGCTGAAAGGGAAATAAAGAAGGAAGATGGGGGAAGAATATCAATATTTAGGAAGTATTTTCTCTTTCCAGTGCTGTGACAAGGGCTTTTGCCCTAATGAGAGGGCTGCCTCTGCCTTGTCATGAAGCTGTGCCTGGTATCCATATGAAGTGCACTGGGTCAGGACTCAAATGGTGGCTGAGCTGCCCATCAAATCTTATCTGCCTCACGGGGCTGTGGTTCCAACAAGACACGGGTGGGGAAAAGGCTCTGAAGGCTACCTGTGCACCTGTGAGGGCAACACGTCCTGGCCCATTGGCCCCAGCAGGCAGGGTAGAAAGGCACACAGCTTAGGTCAGCGGTCGCCAACGGGTGATCTGTGAGGTCTGAAAGGTTGGCGACCACTGGCTTAGGTGATCTGGGCCTCTGCACGGTCTACCCTTGCAGAGGTAGGATTTCGCAACGCTTTTCTTGGAAACTGGAGGAAAGCAATCCTTTGCTCAATATTAGGCATGAAACATCTTCATTGGGCATCAGAGAGCCTACCCTTCCCAGCCTCGATGCACCTTTAACCAGGCTAAGTGGGCTGGCTGAGTTCAAGGCCATATGCAGTGATTTGAAGGGGGCTAAGTCCTGTACAATTATCCCCTGCCCTGGCCTAATTCTGCTCTTCCCGGCCTTGCTCACCTCCTTGCATCCCCTGTGAGGGTGAACCCCCTACTCAGCACCAGGACCCGGTTCTCACAGTGCCTGCCTGGGAGGCGTCCAGGGAGAAGATCCGGTGGGCAGAGGAAGGCCTCCTGGTCTTACATAACCAGCATTGAGCGCTGGGTGCTGATTCCCAGGAACCCATACCCCTGCCTCCCTTAATCACAGCTTCGAGGGAACAACAGCAGGGGGCCACGCCGAGAAGAGAAGCGAGAAGAGAAGCGTTCAAAATAGCAACCTCACGGAGGAAGAATTGATTCCCTCGGCCCGCCCCCTGCCCCACCTCTCTCTTCATTTAGGAATTCAGTATTTTGTCAGGCTGAGCATTTAAATGCACGCTATGCTCTCTGGACCCCTCCACCTCTCCCCCTTCCTCATTAAAATTCGAATTACTACCAGAGCAAGTCAGATGTATGATCAAAAGAAAGCCAAGTCCTAGAAATACCTTTTGTTTTAAGATGACTCACTGCAGAGAGGCAGCCAGCACAGCTGTAACAGAGAGCAGAGGTCAAGGGTCCCGAGCTGGCAGATACTTAGGAGGAGGATGCATCTGTCTGGGGTTGCTCTCGAGCACCCCAGGGGCTGAGGGCCTAAGGAAACAGTGTGTTTATCTGTCCTCATGATATATACCACACATCAACAGAGAGAACTGCAGAGCCGGAGAGCCTGGGTCGTATCTCAGCGCCACCACTCGAGCTGTGTGGCTCTGGGCAGTCAATTCAGTCCTCTGTGCCTCAGTTTACTCATCTGCAAAATGTGGATGATAGCCAGGCCCATTTCCCTGGAGAGTATGAGTAATACACATAAAAAGCGCTTTGTACTTTGGACATGGCAACGTTCGATAACTTGACCTAAATACAATAATAAAAGGCCATCATTTCTATTACTGTCAACTTGTATGTATGTTAAGGTTTTTATGTCTTCTTTTCTTAACTGATTGATTTTAGAGAGAGAAGAAGGGAGAGGGAGAGAGAGAAACATTGATGCGAGAGAGGATCATCGATCGGCTGCCTCCCATACACACCCCAACCAGGGATCGCACTGGGGACTGAGCCCACAACCTGGGCATGTGCCCTGGCTGAGAAGTGAACCGGCAATCTTTCAGTGCACGGGACAACACTCAACCAACTGAGCCACGCTGGCCAGAGCTTGATGTCTTATTATTAAGATAGTAAATACATATTAGAACAAGCTGATACTTCTTCTCTTGTGCCCCCTGGATGCATGCAACACCCCATTAGCAACCTCAGTCTCTGGGGAAGGACTGACCCGGCTCCTCTGGCCCAGAACGGCTCCATTGTCTCTGTGCAGGGGCCTGGGGGTTGGTGCAGGTGGCTGAGGACTTGAGGGTTCTCTGCTGTGACTCCCTATTCATAACGTGGTAGCTGGTCAAGGCCAGTACCCTAAGCCAGGGAGTCGGAAGGCAGTGCTGGTTCCCCAGAGAGGGTGGCTGGTGTCCTCGCCTCCTTGTCAGGCCCCTCTGGATGGAGGACCGCTTTCCCTGGGGCCTGCATGCTGTGAGAGTACTCTGGGTCCCCCCCAGGAGAGACCTGGCATCTCTGTACTCCAAGCAGAGCTTAGCACCTGGCCCAAGGCAGATGCTCAGCAAAGTTGGTTGAAGAGATAATTACAGCTCCTTTATGTGCCATTCATTCATTCACTCATTTATTCTCATGGGCCAGTTTCTGTGCGAGGCCCTGAGTCAGACGAATATAAAAAAACACAGGGTTCCAGTAGCCGACAGCTTAATCAGGGACAAACAGGCTGGGACGGTGGAAAGAGCCCCGGGCTGGGCGGTGGACATCTGGACCCTGGTCCAGGCTCTGTGTCTGACCTGTGACCCCAGGCTAGTCCCTTCTCTAGACCACTCCTCCCACCTGCAGCAGCACAGCCTGGCCTCGATACTTGTAGGGTTGTTTCTCACCTTCATAAGATTCTTAAGGCATCAGAACAAGATCATCCAGGGGCTGCAAACTCACAGGCCTGCTGCAGGGGCCAGGCAGGGAACAGGGAGTAGAACTGGAGAGGACACACCCCTCCAAATGTTCCCATCAGGCATGAGTGCAGGGCTAGGTACCAAGTCATCTGTCCTTTGCCAGAGTAGCAAAAAGTCTGGTGGTGATGGCGGTGGAATCTCAGTCTTCCAATCATCATGTCAGCAGACAAGACTTCCCTGCTGGCCTGTCCACAGGTGACCTGTGTGCACACCTGTCGGGGGAACCATTGCTCCAGAGCCTCTGACCTCTCTGCTCAGAGTCAGAAGAGGCCTTGAGCTCAAGAGGCCTTTCCTACAGGTGGGACGAGAGGTCTGCTCAATCATTTCTCCCAGAGGGAGGCATCCGCACAGCTCCCCGGGGATAAGGGCCATCCTACTGGGGGCAGGGGTGGGCTGGGGGCGGGGCAGTGAGCGCCCACCCCTGAACCAAGCACAACATTCAAAAGTACCAGTTTCACAGCAGAGCTCTCAAATAGCCACAGGAATGGGGTAAAAAGAAGAGACAGCTATAGGGATCGTTTGTATTTAGCTTTGAAATAAACTGTGTGCCTCGGATTCCAACTTAATACAAGTCTTTATGGAGCCTACTACGAGCAGAGTTCTGAGTATAGAAGTATTAGACCTAATCTCGGCCCTCAAAGCGATGGTGCAGGATTTCATTCACTGCAAGTCAAATCAATAACTACTTACTGAGCTCCCGCTCTGGGCTCCGTGGGGGGAGGGGGAGGGTGGAGGGAGAGGTCCTGGAGCCTCCGATCTCCAAGGCCGCTCAGCCTGTTGAGGAAGAGAGCTGTGCCCGAAAATGACCCTGCCATACGCCCGGCCATCGTAACAGCTCTAATAGAAATTCAAACGGCATCCGAATGTGAATGCTTCACGAATCTGCACATTTGCTTAGGCTGTTACTGAAATTACTTTCCCTTCCCCGTGCACAAGCCAACAAGCATCAGGTGCTCCCCAAGCTGGCCGTGGGGGGAGGGGCGCTGTAACATCAGCCGCGGGTGAAGGCCAGTGGACTGTGGAGCGTCAACCCTGAAGCCACGTCCCCTACGCCTGGGCAGCTTTCTCACGACCATTCTTTTCTCTTCTTCCGTCTTTGTCCCTTGTGTGTGCTCCCTCTCCCATCGCCCTGCCCGTTCTCCCGCCTCCGTCCGCCTGTCCCTCCCTGCCTGGCGCACGCCGAGGGCAGGCACCTCTGTCGGCCTCCTCGCAGTCGTAGTTATCGTGTGTGGCGTGGCCCTGGTGGCAGTTTTTCTCTTTCTCTTTTGGAAGCTGTGCTGGACGCCCTGGAGGAACAAGGAGACCTCCAGTCCCTCTTCTGCTAAGGTCCCCGGCTCCAGAGGCGCCATGGCGGACAAGCTGAAGGACCCCAGCACCCGGGGCTTCCTGGAGGCGGCCGTGAAGATCAGCCACACGTCCCCAGACATCCCGGCCGAGGTGCAGATGTCCGTCAGAGAGCACATCGTGCGTCACACGCGGCTGCAGCGACAGACCACAGAGCCAGCGTCATCCACCAGGTGAGGGGGGCCCTCCCTGCCCTCACCCCACACCCCCACATTCTCATATTCAATAAAGAGACGCTGCCAGGGGCAGAGGCCAGAGATAATAACAAGTGAACTGTGATTGGAGAACATTTCAGAGGATGTGCTCCATGGTGGGTGATCAGCTAGGAGGTGGCACCTGCAAAGTCCCCAGGAAAGGGGAACCCCGGGTGGGTGCTGTGCGTGTGGTGTGCATGGGGGGGTGTGCGGGTGGGAGGTACTGGGTGTTTGGAGGGAAGGAAAGACATCAGGCAGAGGGAAGAGAATATGCCAAGGCCAAGAGGCATGAACGTTCATGGGCGTCTAGGGATATGTCAACGGAGCCGTGGAGCTGGAGTCTGCAGTGCCCGGGAATTTCTTGGTAGCCCCTGGCAGAGTTCCCCACACGACAGCGTTTATATACATGGCATTCTTTAACGGAAAAACCAAAACCAACAACCGCCACATAATCACAAAAATCTGCTCTAAATCCAGAAACACTTTTAACAGAAGTGATGCGTGCAGGCATGAGGCATGTGTTTCTTTATAACGCAGGGCTCTGTGGGTTCCTGGTCCTGCAGTGTCTCCCCCAGCTCCCAGGGGACCAGCCGGAAGGAAGGAGGCCTGGTCTCCAGGCGGGAGGGCTGGAATGAAAGGGCTGGGGTCATGTTGACAGGGTTCATCGTATGGCCTAGAGCAAGCCTCTCTTTTCCCCACTGTAAAACAGAGCTAATGACTCCGGGGTGGCTGTGCGGAGCCCATGAAAGAATCCCTTTGATAGTGACATGTCCCTTAGCATTTACTGGCCCCGTTCTAACAAGTACTCTATATGTATGAATTCATTTCATCCTCACAGCAACCCTATGCAATTGCTCCTCTTATCACCCTCATTTTATAGCAAAGAGAAGTGAAATAACTGGCCCAAGGTCGCATAGCGAGACCGTGGCAGAGCCAAGATGAACTTGTTCAGCCGGGCTGTAAAGCCCAGTAATGTTAACTATGGTGATGGGGTCGTGGTAGAGGGACAGCCACCAGCCACCTCCAGGACAGGAAAGGCTGGCCCTCCTCGTCAGGAATCTCAATGTGGGAACCGGAGGCACGTCTACTAGGAAAGAAACCTAGAAAGCGGGACGGTGGCAGAAAAGCAGGGAGAATGAGAATGCAAGCAGTGGCTCATATTTACTGGGCTTACTACATACCAGCCCCATTGCAACTACTTTGCATATATTAAGATGTACCGCACACACAGTGTGTGCAGAGGGAAAGGGGGCCCCCACCGCGGGGAGGATGAGCCAGGGCCACAGGGGGTGTGGTGGTTCCTGCCTACATCCCCTCCCTGTGAGCTCTGACCGTGCCCTCTGCCCGCTCCCGCCAGGCACACGTCCTTCAAGCGCCACCTGCCCCGGCAGATGCACGTCTCCAGTGTGGACTATGGCCACGAGCTGCCGCCGGCCGCAGAGCAGCCCACCAGCATCGGCCGCATCAAGCCCGAGCTGTACAAGCAGAAGTCGGTGGATGGGGACGACGCCAAGTCCGAGGCCGCCAAGAGCTGCGGGAAGATCAACTTCAGCCTGCGCTACGACTACGAGACGGAGACCCTGATCGTGCGCATCCTGAAGGCCTTCGACCTCCCCGCCAAGGACTTCTGCGGCAGCTCGGACCCTTACGTCAAGATCTACCTCCTGCCCGACCGCAAGTGCAAGCAGCAGACGCGGGTGCACCGCAAGACCCTGAACCCCACCTTCGACGAGCACTTCCACTTCCCCGTGCCCTACGAGGAGCTGGCTGACCGCAAGCTGCACCTCAGTGTCTTCGACTTCGACCGCTTCTCCCGCCACGACATGATCGGGGAGGTGATCCTGGACAACCTCTTTGAGGCCTCCGACCTGTCCCGGGAAACCTCCATCTGGAAGGACATCCAGTACGCCACGAGCGTGAGTACAGCCCCGCCCTCGGCTCCTCGAGGATCCCCAGTTCTAGGTGGAGTGGGACGTGTCCCAGCCCCCTCGCCCTGGGGACAGGTGGGCCTTGAACTTCAGGATGTGAAGAGGGACTTGGAAATAGACCAGTGGCCCCGCCTACCCAGAGGGAGTCCTTGCGCTCGCCCGTGTTGGTGAGAAGGGAAGGGAATGTTTATCTATTGCTTCTGATCACAAGTTCTAGGCAATTCTCTCTACCTGCTGGGCCTCAGGTATCCCACCTGTGGGATAATGGCATATGTCTCTCTGACCCTGGGTAAGGAATGGGCCAGGCCCACAGACTGAATCAAAGGCAATCAAGAACAGGCTACATTAGTTAGGATGAGCCAGGTTATGCCCCAGCAACAAACAATCTTAGGATCTGGTGACTTAAAGCAGCGATTTTCAATTGCTGTGCCACGAGAATTTTTAAAACATGCAATACCTGTCTATTTAGTCTGGGGCACTGACCTCTTTTCCCTTAGCTGTCAAATAAAAAAATGACAAGAGCCAACACAATAGCCATCTGGTATAAATGATCGAAAATTATCCTATTTTTTTGTCAGATGGACAAGAACATATTTGTTGGGTGTGCCGCAGAATTTTAGTCACTAGTGTATGTGTGATGAGATGAAAGAGATTGAAAATCGCTGGCTTAAAGCGTTAGTTCTCATTCATGGTACCCGTGTTCTGCAGCCTGGCCCGGGCTGTGCTCTACCTTGTTACCCAGGGATCCAAGCCCACAGCTCCCTCTCCACACGTGCTCCCGGGACCATGTCAGGAGGAGGGGGAGGTGGCAAACTGTGACCGTCTCTCAAAGCTTCCACGCAGAAGTGACACATGTCACTTCCACTCACATTTCATCAGCCAAAGCAAGACACAGGCGGCTCCTAATGTCAAGGGGGCTGGGCACAGCCATCCTACCGTGTGCCCAGGGGAACCGGGTGTACTTAGTGACCAACCCCAGTGACCACCACACAGCAGAGCCCCTTCTCGTAGGCACTGCCTGCCAGGCCAGGCTGGGAGGGGGTGTGTGTGTCGGGGGGTGGCCTCAAAGGGCACCTGGTTAAGCCCCACATGGGAGAGAGTGGCTGGGCTGTTCACACTCCACTGGAATTAACCCAGAGGATCCCAGGGGCTGAGGCTCAGTTCGCTTTTAAGAGGAGGAGGGCAGCTCCGGCACAGAACTGGAGAGGCCACGCCCCGGCTCTTCGGTCTGGTGTAGACGGAATGCTGCAGGCTCTGGGTGCTGAGGAAGCGGTGTGATCGCTCCTGCGGGTCGGTGGTGTGTCTACGGAAGCCTGCCCAGGCCGCCCAGAGCCCAGCAGGGTGTTCCCACATGGCAGCGATGGCCCCTCGTCTGGTGTCTTGAGTGCTAACTGCTTGACTGTCTCCTGGATCGTCCTCTGGGGCAGAAGCCGTTTCTCTGGGGCAGGCGGGACCCCACTCAGTCTGCGGGCCCTCCCTTTGGACTGTCAATACCTGATATCTCTGTGTTGAACTTGTAAGGGGCGGGGCTGGGGAAGCCAGCCCTGCTCTGGTGAGAAAGGGCAAGCACCTGGGTGTGTTCTAAGAGCTAGAGCAGCTTGCTGGGCCCCGTTTCTGTGCCGGGGCATTGTCTCTGGGACACCCCATTCTCATAGCTGGTGCTGACTCTGACCTCCCCTCCCCACAGAAACGCAGAATCCAAATACAGAGACAGGAACTGTCCATGCGGCAGTTAGTGATGCGCAATAGCAAATACTATACACTGTGCGAGGTTGGATCTGAGAATCTGCACAGCAGGAAAGTTTTCCCAGATGATGGGGATTAGCTAGGTGGGGAGGGACTTGATAGGCAAAGAGGAAGGGGAAGCATTCTAGCCAGGAGCAGAGGGGGTCCAGGAGCAGAGGGGGTCCAGGAGCAGAGGGGGCCCAGGAGCAGAGGGGGCCCAGGAGCAGAGGGGCCAGGAGCAGAGGGGCCAGGAGCAGAGGGGCCAGGAGCAGAGGGGGTCCAGGAGCAGAGGGGCCAGGAGGAGAGGGGGCCCAGGCCCGGGAGTCTCCGATGCTGAGGAGCCAGTGGCCAGGCTCACACATCCTTCTACCTGAGCTGGAGGTCCTGCCTAGGTGAGGCCCTTGGGGACCCCTCCTGCAGGCAAGGCACCAGGCAGAGGAGAGGGAAGGGAAATAAGAAGGCTGGTGCTTTTATCTGTCTCTGGGGGGACTTTTTGTTTTGTTTGATTTTTGGTGCTGACTCTAAGTTGTAATTATTTTGAGGCCAGAGAAGCCCAGGTCACAGTTCCCAGGAATGATGGAGCACTCGGTGCATGTGAAGTCCTGCGGCCCGCGCGGTGGGGGTGGAGCCGAGGAGCGCAGCCAGCTCCTGCCCGCCAGTTCCCTTCCTAGAGCTGCATTTTGGCCCTGAGCTCAGAACTCTCGCAGCTCCTGTGCCCGCAGGCTGGACCCTGAACACGCAGACATTCCTGCCTCTAGCCTTCGCTCACAAGGTCCTCCCCCCACCCCCCGAGGGGCAGGCCCTTCCCCCACCTCTCTACCTGGCCCGATGCAACCGCCTTTACAGCATCCCTGGAGTCCGCCATCACTACTCTGGGTTTACTCTGTCCGTATCCCTCAGTTACACCCCGAATCGTATTCTGTCTTGCCAAGTGCTCCCAGTGGCACAGCTCGGGAATGGCTGTGTCCCACATTTGGCTTTCTCTTGGAGTGTCCCTCGGGGCTCAGCATGTCATCAGGAACTCAGCACATTCTTGTTGAATGACCAATGGCTTAGTTACCTCAATCACAACTATGTACAGATGCGCTTTGACTGACCATGGGATTATGTCTCAAGAAACCCATTGTAAGTTGAATATATAGTGACTCAACATGCATGTAATACACCTCACCCACCAAACATCACATCCTAGCCAAGCCCACCTGACACATGCTCAGAACTCATGAGCCTACAGCTGGGCACTGAGCATCCAACACAGTTAACACAGTGTACTGTGCCGGTGGGTTTCCCTCGTGATCGCGTGGCTGGCTAGGAGCTGAGGCTCCCTGCCGCTCGCCAGCATCATGAGAACATCAGACCACAGATTGCCAGCCCAGAGGAAGACCAAAATTTGACATTCGAAGTTCGGTTTCTACTGAATATGCAGCTTTGACACCATCATAAAGTCAAACCGTTGAAAGTTGGGGACCATCTGTATTGGTGCAAAGGGGAGGATTATTAAAGAGGCAGTGGCGTTGGGTTCGGGCAACCTGGGAGGGCTTCCTGGAGAAGGCAGCCATTTGGAAAATGGGTGGAGCTGGGGTTGGTGGGGAGAGACCCAGCCTGTGTTCCTTCAGGTATGGTTCAGGCAGATGGTTTGTGTCCAAAGCAGCAAAGAGATGAACCAGTGGGCTCAGGTTGTCTGCACTGAAGTGGGGGGTCAGTGACCCACAGGCTGGGTGGAAGGAGAGGGGGCTCGGGAGGGTTCTCTGAGGTCACACGGATCCATGAATGCCGTCCCCTTATTGCTCCCCCTGCTTGTATCAGAGAATCAGCTCCAGCCCTGGCCGGCGGGCCCATGTGGGCCCCTGTTTGGGCCCCACCCCAGCACTCGGGTGGTTTGCAGTAGCCAAGCCTGGAGCATTGGTGGTGTTTCCCACAACCACTGAGCGTGGAGCTTCAAGGCTAGTGAAGGGGGTGTGCGTCAGAGGAGTCCAGCTCTGTTCATTGCAAACCTTAAGCCAACTGCCTCACCACCCCCAGGTTGTTCTGGAGGGAAGCCTAGGCATCAATAGAAGCCTAGCTGCCATCCCCCTCCAGGCTGCAGGGCGAGAAGTAAGGGAACCAATCACGCCAGGGCAGTGGGAGGCCTCTACTGCCCCATCCCATCAAGAAGCCCACGCGCGGGAAGGAATTGAGGGAGTTCGTTAAATCCACCCCGTCCCCAGCAGGGCTGCCCCAATACCCCCGTCCTGCCTGGCTTGGCTAAGGTCCCGGATGGTCTCCTGGGCTTTCCCAGCGCCTTGCCATGCTTCTCCACACCCAGAACTTTGATTGGCTGAAGTCACCCTGCTCTTCCCTCCCCCTCCCTTCTGCTCCCAGTCTTATTATTTCTGCATAAAGCTGTAGATTTATCATTATAATAGAGCCACCGTCACCGGGTTTGCTAACATCTCTGTAATCTTGTACTTATTGCTACCGAGGCCTCAGACCTCAGTGCGCACACTATTCCTGTAGCTATTCCAGGTGGCGGGGAGGGGAGGGAGGGTGAAGGCTATAATTGGGGCCATAAATATGTGTTGTGCTTGGTGCTAATGGACTCGGCCATCTTCCTGCCTTACCAGGTCCCCGCCAGGTCAGAGTGAGCATGTGTGTTTGTGTATACACGTGTGTGTGTCTACACACAACATGTGTGTGCATGTGTGTGCAAAGAGCTCAGGCTTTGGTGCCAAACAAACTCGTGTTGCATTCCAGCTTCTGCCCTTTTTAGCCTGCAGACCTTGGGGACATTATCTAAACTGCCTCAGTTTCCACATCCACAAAATGGGGATGATTATAATGGTGTGGAGCTCATAGTGGTATTATAAGCAGGAAATTAAATAAAACACACAAGCAAGATGCCTAGGAGAATGCTGTCCCGGAGCAGCCTCCTGAGCCCTTCTCACCGTGCCTTTCCTTCTAGCTCAGCCTGTGGGGCACTGACCACTCCCACACCTGACCCCCCACTTTGGTCCAGACCACCTGTTCTGACTGGTCGTTGGCTATTATTACTCCTATTTTATTTTATTTCCTAGCTATACCACGTGCTCCTGTGTGACCTTGGGAAAGTGACTTGCCCTCTCTGGGCTGTGGTTTCTCAGTGGGAAACCAGCTGCGATGTGCTGAGATGGGCTGAGTTTGTGGATTTCTCCCACAGAGAAGTGCTCGGCTCCCTCATCATCACAGAGCGGAGGTGCCCCGTCCCTGGAGTGCGGTCTCCACAGGAGAAACCTAACCCCCAAGAT